CTAACTGTGTCACAAAGGGTAGGAATGTCTGTATGATTTTAAAAATCTTGGCAATTTTTCTTGTGGTTAAAATTACTCAGTTTTCTGAAGATATGGAAGCATTTACTGCTTTGTCTTTGAATGATTTTGATTTTAAACAAGTGAAGATATTTTAATCTCACTTAATGAAAAAAATTTTGATTTGCAGGCTGAACAGGAACACAAAGAATTTTTCCCATAAACTTATTGTGTAATGGTCCAGTCACTGGGTTGCTTGGAATTCAAAGATATATTGCAAGTAATCCAGCACTTTTTACCCACCTTACTATGGGAAAAAAAAAAGGAAGAAACCAGTCTTGTTTCCAGACATTGTCCTGAATAATTGGTTTTAAGTGGCCTGGCTTGAGCAGGGGATTTGGACCAATGACCGTCAGAGCTCCCTTCCAACCTCAGCCCCTCTGTGATTCTGTTCATCCCTGCTTTCCTGTTTAAGTAATGAGAATTACTTAAACTGTAATACAACAGGGCTGCCTAATTGTGGCTATCATTAGGCCACTGTGATTCCCTGTATCTGGGAATGGAATTTTGCACACTTCGTTATAGATGATTTTTTCCTTACAAACTTCTTTTGTTTTGATTTTTCAAAACTGTTTTTTGCATCACATATTCCTCCTTACACTTCAGTAAGTGTAGTGTTAATTACTTATATCAGTGATCTCATGCACACATTATGCATATGCATAAAGAGGTTCATATACATATATATATAACTATATATATAGTTACATATGTAGTTTACCTTTTCCATTCATGTCCCCTACTGGAATAAGGCGACCAATGCAGAGCGGGCGATTCCCATACGGATCACGTACTGCATAGATGATGTCTTTATGCATAATTAACAATGAATATGAAGTTGGAGTTTCTTTCATTAAGTTTTTTATTCTGGAAAGAGACATAGGTGAACATAACGGTGTGTCACACCAACAGCTGTGTGCATTTACAGCTGCACATCATGCTGAGGTTTAAAGGCTGGTGTTGATTGTGAAGCCCATGCTCCTCACCTTGCCACCCAGTCGGCCGTATCGTCATTTTCCAGAGGAGGTGTGAAAGCCAGCAGCTGGGTGATCAGTTCACTGTCAGAGCTGGTTGACAGTCCCACACCGTGTCGCATAAGCTTTTAAGATACAAACCAGAAGTGTTACCAGCATTAAAAAAACAATCTCACATCACACTGCTCAGATTTGAACCTAACAACACCTTGGTGCAATGAAGAAATGTTTGACAGTGCTTCAAGTGATCACAGCATAATAATGCCAAGTTTCTTCCAACAAATCAACAATGTAAAATGAGGTCAGACAATCTTCTACACTAGCACTACATTTTTCCTTCTTTATCTGATTCCTTTGCTTTGCATGCAACCAAAATTAATGCCACCAATATTCATAAATTCATGTTTGGGCCATTTAATTAGCTTTGTGCATGCTCTGGGAAGAGAGTTAAAATATAAAGAGAAAATATGAAATTGCCTAAAACAGATCCAGAAAGAGATATCAAGGCAGATATTAAATCCCTTTGCAGGATTTTTTCCCCCCAAAATGATCTATTTTGATTAGGGAGCTCTTTCATAACCCCAAATAATTTGGTATTAAGGAAAAGTCACAGAAACTGTACTGCCCATTTCTGCCTCACACTCAGAGAGAAACAATGCCAGAGGTCCCAAAGGAAGTACTAACCTTCCTTCTTAGTTGTGCAGCATTTGTTAGCTCCCCATTGTGTGCCACAGCAATCTTCCCATGAAGAGTCTCTACAACAAAAGGCTGGCAGTTCTGCAGCTCAGAAATTCCTGAGGTGGAGTACCTCGTGTGCCCAATACCAAGGTTTGAAGGGTACAGCTTCTTCAGGCTGTCTGCATTGAAGACATGATTTATAAGACCCATTCCCTTTGGGAGAAAAAGATAAAAAAGGTTCGGTTCAGTTTTATTTTCCTGGTGACTTTCTAAGATCTTTTTCTGCTTAATGCTGATATAGTATTAATGGAGCTTTAAGAAAAAGGCAAATAACCTGAAAGACATGGGACAGAAAGAAACTGAGTAGGTGTCACAGTGGTACATCAGATCCCTTTAGTCCTGTTTTTAAATAAAACAATCTACATTTTTGTGCTGAGGATTTTCACGGAACAATCTATTCCTTGACTAAAAATAGATACTTTTAAGGCTGTAGTCATTATGTGTCTTGTAACATCCCCCATGATTCTCTCAGCTTGAGAAAGTCTGTGTGACCTTCTCAGGCCTCCATTCTGTCTTAGATTCTGTTTATTGTTACCTATGAGTAAAGTAGTTGCCACTTCCTTGAGTCTCACTAATGTAAGATTAGTCATCCATTTCCTTGTAATGGCTGTAACAGTATTTTTTTTTCTTTTTGAGATCAAGAAGAGCATCAATGCTCTTCCAAATCTGCAGAGTTAACACCTGAGGTACAGGGTGACTTTGGTAAAAAGTTTTTGTGACATCATTATCATGCTCTGGGTAACTTCTGTGTGTCTGCCACTGTATGCACAGAAACACCTACCAGGACAATGTTGGCAGATTTGTTTTAAGCATACACTCAAGACAGGTAACAAAAAGAGATACTCTTACTCACAAAATCAGAAATGCCCATCAAACATGTTACTTTTTCTCTAACTATGCTGTTTCTTAGCAGAGACTAACTTACATGCATCTCACTGAAGAATACAAGGCATTTATTTGCATTTTACCTTGTGCACCTTGAATGCCTGGGATGACTCGCCATCACTTGTCACAATTCCAGCACTCTCCTGGCCCCTGTGGACAAAATAAAATCACAATAAAGCACTGACATGATTATGAAACACTTAAGCATACAATAGATAGGTGGTTATTAATGGAATTTTAATGTAGGCTTATTTATTATTTTACAGTGTTTGTTAATTGTTGTGTTAATTGTAGATTTCTTGCCTTTGTTATGCTTTATTTCAAGACAGTCACATAAGTTGTGCCTAAGTCCTCTAAATTCAGTGGGAATCTTTCCACTCATAAGCACTGTCTCGGGCTCTTACTGGACTTCAGTTTCAATATGGGGATTATGTAAAAACAGATGTTTAATTGGAAAAGCCATTTTTAGAGGCATAATGGTCTCAGTGATAGTACTAATGTTATTCTATAGTGCTATTTCATTTCTACTTTGGATTGTGAGATGTTACTAAAAACTGATGGTATTGCTTAGGGGAATGGATTGTCTTTTCCACAGATCACCTGTGCAGAAGCTTTTGCATTTTTGCACTTAGGCAGACAAGCTAGCATTTACCTCTAAAACCTACACAGACCCTCTGATGAAAGCATCTGAGTGCATAAACTTAATGTTGGGCATCTCAGCTTCTGTACTCAGGCAAAACAAGATGTACAAGTGTCACTGCAAACGTAAATACTTCTCTTAGCCTCTAGGGTTGGCAGTTGTGTTTTGTTGAGCAGAAGAGCTGATTCAGCTGAAGTAAGTGTGTTTTCCCTGTCCTGCTGCCTGTGCTCCCCATTCCTTCCCCCTGCTGATTCCCCTGGGTGTACCCCAGATCCCCTGATCCTGCCCTGCCCAAGGCAGGCAGAACCCTGTGCACCTGCCCGCCGTTTGTAATCCAGTTCTTATCCATTGAAAAGGTTTGCTTTGCAGACTAGATTTTTTTTTGTTTGGTTGGTTGGTTTTTTGTTTGTTTGTGGGTTTTATTTTTCTTTGTGGATAACAATGCAGGCTGCTCCATCTCCCTTTAAAAGAGTTCCTTAAATAAGGCAGTGCTGCCTATAACAAAACTGCTGTTATCTGCCTGCCTGTGCCTGTAATACTCATCAGGACTTTGGTGGACAGGTGAGCTCCTATCCACTCTCTGATAATGTCTGAATAGGAAAGATGTTTTTTCTTAAAAAGGGAAAGACAACTAATGTCCTATTTGTGCACTGGACTGATTTAACTCAGTTGAAGTCACTGGAATTATTTATTATAAGCAACAATAAAATTTGGCACAAAAATCAATAGACTGGATGCTAGTCTACAACTGATATGACCAATTTTCTCCAGTTCATAAAATCCCTTTATTTGTTACTAGTCTCAGTTGGATGTAATGCAAAAATTTTAAACACTTACTTTACTTGCTTTAATTTCAACACTTGCTTACATAAAGCAAAACAAACCAAGCTTTCCACATATCTGAACAAATTTACCCTGTTAGTGAAACAGCTCTTCAAAGAAAATAATCAGAGATGAAGATATTCTTAAATCCATTTACTTTAACTCAGGAAGATGTTTCATCTATAAATACGGAGACTGGTAGTAAGGCTTAAGGGTTGATGCACTGCATTCAACAATTGTTATTATTATAACTGTTGTTGTAATTGCAATTGTTAATATTACAGGGAATTTCCATTTTAATACTGTCATGGTCTCTTTAAATAGTAACTAAATCACTAGGAAGAGGGAAGCAGACACCCCAAGGAAGGCCCAGGTCAAGGTGTTGAATTACATCTTTCACTTCACTGACAAAAGACATGGGATCTCAGCGTCATTACCACAACGTCTGCAGCACTCTACGAGCTGAGCCAGACTTTAAGTATGCCAGCTCTTATGAAAACATCACTAATATATAAAACGTGTCTCTACGGCCCGCAGTTAGAGGCAGACAGCGCACAGAGATGCGCAGATGTAGGGCAGGACGATCCTAAACGCGAGCCTTGTGGGGCAGGCTGGGTCCCGCGGCCGTGCCCCCTCGGGAGCACGGGCTGCCCGGGGCCTCCCGAGGCCAGGCCACAAGGGGGGCGTGTGTGTGTGATGTTGCTTTGTTTTGCTGGGTTTGTTGTTTTTTTTTAAAGGAACGAAACTATTTTTGTCTCTCTTCTCACACCTTGGTGCCCGCACTGATTCCCGAAGAAGAGCCACAGCCCCCCCAGCCAGGCCAGGCCCGGCCCGGCCCGGCCCGGTCC